AAAAAAATTGGTCCAATTAATTGGCCCATTTTAAATTTTTTTTTTTTTTTTTTTTTTTTTTTGGCCGTGGGCCTGGGTGCTGTGGATAATTGGCAGTGGGCCAAAGTGGTATGAGTTTTCGTCAGATGCAGTGGAGTTTTGCAGCCATGAGGGGGAGCGAGAGAGAGAGAGAGAGAGAGAGAGAGCATGCGTTTTGTATATAACGATGAATGGACATCGAATGATCCGAATTTAAAGAAATCAAACGGCCAGCAGTTTTAGCACAACTTAACTTTTTTTTTAATTGAGTTGGTCAAACTTTATTTTTTTAATTGATAAATTTTAGGAAAATGTCACTTTACTCGAAAATGTTTGACATCCAGAGCAACCGACCCTTACAAAGTGCGCAGGTCCCATGTGAATTAAATAATGCTCGACCCTCGAAGCGTGTGTGTTCGATCATCCACTATGTTAACCATTATGTTCCTCTAATTTGGTCCTAAATTTATACGTCTCATACCCATCTATTATTCACGTGTTTTGTTGACCCATAGCTTATGTTTATTTTTAGTCTTGAAAAGTATGTCTTATAAAATTTACTTTAGTAAAAAAAACTAAAATTTGAATAAGTGCTTTCTATTATAAAAGTTAGAAACAAGTAAGCTATTTATTTATTTATTTTAGTTCAAAAGTGTAGAGCCCCGAAAAATTTTTAGAATATAATTATTTCACTCTAGATGATTTATTTTTCAAATTTTGATAGTTGAAGTACTAAAGTGAAATAGTATAAATTTTAATTTTATTTGGGCCAAATAATTGGATCTTAATAGAGCGAGTTTTAGTATAACGATGTTGGACTCGTTGAGTAGTTCGTATTAAATAGCGCACCAAGGACTCTAGAAAAGTTAATTCGGATAAGCTACATTCAAAATATTGAAGTCCAAGTAAGTTGCATTTAATTGGTAATTTATTTAAAGTTAATTTATGACTTTGGCCATGATTTTTCCATGTAGTGTAGTATATATGGTAACCTGAAGATTTATTTAATGTCCTAATCATCTTCATTAATTTTTTTTTTCTAAACTCAAATTTCACGTTTTAATTGATATATATATGCTTGAAAATAAAGGAATTACTTTAATTTGTGTCGATTCCACATTTAACGTAAAGATGATAGATTTTTTTTTTGCAACACTGTGTTTATAAAAATTTAGTGTTGCTAAAAATTCAGGGTCTTACAGTTTGATATCAAAGTTTTGGTTTATTTTTCAATTGAGTCGTATAAATTTTAAATTTAAACGAATTGTGTAAAAAAAAGTTTAAATGTTTGTTATAAATTGATTTTGAATGTTGGTAGTTTAGAATTTAAATTATTATAGCTCAATGCTCATATTTTAAATTTCACATAGCATAAATATTTATGTGTTTAACTTTAGTGTTTGGGTGATGTTTTAAAAATTTACCATAGAAAATTCATATTTTAAGATATTTCACGTTGCACTTATTGTTTGAGCTCTCTTGATTTGCTATTTACAAGATTGAAAGATTTTGTCAAAAAGATCTAAACTATACAGGAAACGCTTATGATTTAAGCGGTCCACTTGTAACCTCCTCCTCATCTGGATGCCTTTTAGTTGTGTGTTATTCAAATCAACAAGACGAAAAATAATATTTCAAACCATTCATAATTTAAGAAAATTCTATTATTTAGAAACTTAATTTTGAGAAAATCATATGTTAAGAAATTTCAAATAAAAATAAAAGTAAAGAACTTTCATGAGCATTAAGAGTTTAAGGACAATGTAAATTTTTAAAATTTTAAACATGTAATCCTTGGCACGCGACGCTCACTATTCTACCACTTTTCAATTAATTCAAGATATGAAATAAAATGTTATTTTTTTAGCGTGACTATGAGTAATCTTTCTTCGTGTTATGAAATGTAAAGCATATTCACCTCTCATAATTTATTAGTGGTACATTTTTCATATTTTATATATTATTTATGCCATCATGAAATGAGATAGACTGTCATATACTGGTCACGTGATTAGGACTTGGCAAACAACTAGGATAACTAGGAATAGTCGAATGTACTTTTATTGTACTCAAATGGCTATTGCGAATTCATAAATTACGAAGTGAGATGAGAGCTAACCTTTGTTGAGGATTATTCGCTTAATTGGGTATTTGGGTTGAGTCAAGGTGATGCGAACCCCGTAAAAGCGTTGACAACGAAACCTACAACTAGATTGTTTCAAAACCCCAGAAAAGCCAAATAAAAGGTTTGGAGATTGAACCTTAAATTACTGAACCAAAAAACCCAACAAGAACGTTGCTTGAAGGATCTCTTGATTACACAATTCAAGACCCGCACCCGATTTGTAGAACGCCACAAGAATAGTCTTGATAAGTTTAATGTTTTCAATTAAGAACAAAGAATTGAAAGCAAAATTGTCTTTCGTATTAAATCTCAAATAATGTCTCGTGTAAAAAAAACAATGAAGAATGGAACTTCTATTTATACTAGATCCTAGAATAGAAGTTGAAAAGGAATAAAATTCTAATAATCTAGTAGAATCTGAAAAATAGTCGTCCAATATCTCTAGAATTTGACTAAAAATAGAACTCTAATAAAATATGAAAAAACACGAAAAATGAAAAATTCTACCCGATTTAATACTATGCGACCGCATAGTGTAAACCTATGCGATCACATAGTTCAATTGAACTATGTCCACATAGTCCCTGCCCCTATGCATGCAGTCGCATGCCTATTATAGCTATGCGGCCACATAGCTATCTCTTTTGCCCCCGACTTCGTCCGTTTTTATCGAGTTGATCCACTTTGATTCGACTCTCGACCCGAACATGAAAGTTGTCCCATTTTGCGTCCAGAACATTGTCCCATCAATGGTTTCTCGAACGAGCAACCCATCGCTTGTTTCACTTGCTTTGCTCTCGATCGCGTCATCGGTCCGCCTTCGATAATCAACGGATCTCGACTCAAACTCGTCGTCTTCAAACTTGATTCTTGGATCACATAATCCTCTCCCTCTTCAAAAGGATTCGTTCTCGAATTTGCATCTGCATCAAAAAGGGAAAGATCAGCAACGTTAAATGTAGTCAGTACATTATACTCACCTGGCAAGTCCACTTTGTAGGCATTATCGTTGATCTTCTCGGTGACTTGGAAAGGACCATCTCTCCGCGATTTCAATTTGGACTTTCGCTGCTTTGGAAAACGTTCCTTCTGTAAATGTACCCACACCCAATCTCCGGGTTCAAATGTCACACGCTTCCGCTCTTTGTTTGCTGTTGATGCGATGAGCTTGCTCTTCTCTTCAATTTGCGTATGGACCTTCTCATGAAGTGCCTTCACCATCTCAGCTTTCCTCTTATCATCCATGCTACATCGTTCATTCACAGGTAAAGGAGATAAATCCAATGGAGTTAGTGGATTAAATCTAGACACAATTTCAAACGGTGAATAAGACGTAGTCGAATGCACAGCACGATTATAAGCAAACTCAATAAATGACAAGCAATCTTCCCAATTTCTTAAGTTCTTATTAATCACTGTTCGAAGCGATTGAGTCATGGTCCTATTTACTACTTCAGTTTGACCATCTATTTGTGGGAGACAAGTTGTAAAAAATAACAATTTAGTTCCTAACTTATTCCACAAAACACGCCAAAAATGACTCAAAAATTTAACATCATGGTCCGACACAATACTTTTAGGGATTCCATGCAAACGTACTATCTCCCTAAAGAA